TATATATATATATATATATATATATATATATATATGAAATGGAATTGTGTAGGAAAATTACTCTCCTGATTGACGAACTTGTTTGTTGTTGGAACTTGGAAAGATTTTCGAGTATTCACCTATACTACAGTAACTACACTATTGAAATTTGATTTAAGTTGTATCTATAATTTATTATATTGTGTTCCATGTGAAACAGGATCTTTAAATTTTAAACACCACTGTCAAAGTTTTCATTCCATTGTAGTGTACCTGTGGGCTGTGGCAGTTATTTTGCTCAGCATATTTTTATAGTTTACATGCTTTCATTGAATTTGTGATTTTCTTGATCTTTTTTTACTCTTGTAAATTTGTATCAAGTAACTGTTCCATCTTTTCTGACTTGTTTTTGGTCTCATTTTCCTTACTTGCAGGTTAAGGATATGTCATCTGATTTTAAGTTAGACATTTTTTCGCAGCATGACCCTGAAGAACCAGGGTTAGGCACCATCGTAACATCAAAAATGTTAATAGATGAAAAAGTTAATGCAGTGCACACCGTTCGTGAGCAAGGAAAGTTGTCAACCAACAACTTTGCCACAAACGCCGAGCGCAGAGCTTTGAATGATAGGTGTGAAATAAATATTCTTAACATATTTTTATGTATTCATGCATTTTCCTTTCTTTGCTTTGCTTCTATTCTGTTACTGTAAATTTCACTCGGAAGATTTCATGTTCATGTCAATTTTCTTAAAATCTGTTTCACTTAATTGTTCTGTGATATTTTGATTTGATTTTTGGATGTTTGAAAATTCTTGTTTAAATTTTGGTTTCTTTGGGTGCATGTTTTAACCTTGTAACGCTATGATTGTTGATGAATTAAATATAGTGGTTCTTAAGTAATATGTGGCACACATTCACCTTTACAAGCAGATTTCTGAAAGCAAACAAGGCTACAATTGGTGATAGTGTCAGTCTTCTTGATGAGGTGGAAAGGCGTCGTTTGCATGGATCATCTAAGAAGTCTGGACCTCTTATCTCTGGAGCAGCTTACTGCATTTCTTCATGCTCTATGATAATGTTGAACAAAATTGTTTTATCAGGTTATAATTTCAGTGCAGGAATATCATTGATGTTTTATCAAGTAAGTTAGTTCCCTGCCTTCTTTTTTGCTCTGAGGCTCTAATCAGACTAATTCTTAAGAATGATAGTTTTACTGCTTCTGGCTTAGTTTCTTTCCTGGAGCTTATTGTCAATGCAAAATCGATCATGTAATCTTTATTCTTCCTTGTACTTTGCAGAACTTTATCACTTCTCTGGTTGTTGTTCTGTTGTCTCTTTCTGGTAGAATTTCAGTTGAAAAGCTCAGCTGGAGGCTGATCAGGGTCTGGATCCCTGTGAATGTGATATTTATTGGCATGCTTGTCTCGGGCATGTATAGGTATAGAATAAACTCTACTCTTTGTGTATTTTCCTTAACACCTATGGAGATGTTGTTCCACTGCTCAATCTTCTGGTTCATTTTTTTTTTCCAGTTTGAAATACATTAATGTTGCCATGGTAACAATACTCAAGAACGTGACAAATATCTTAACAGCACTTGGAGAATTGTATTTATTTCGTAAACGACAGAATTCCAAAGTGTGGACTGCAATGTTTGTGATGGTAAGTGGCATTCTTTAATCGTACTCAATGTGCTGTTATTTTCAGACAATTTGAGTTTAGTTTCTACTTACTGGTTAGGATCATGTGTTGAGTAACATCTGATGTTTCCAATAAATCTAGCAGTTCAAATTCTCAAATTTTAATTTTTTGTTTTTCAGTCAAGGTGAAACATACTAGATATTTCATGATGAAAATACAACAATTATGACTAATTTGCTGTTTCATCAGCTCAGAAATCGCAGAAAAGAAAATGCTGATAATTTATTCATCAAGTTATACGTCTTCCTATAAAAAATTTCAATAAATCTATATTATTGATTAACTTGCTGAGCTGTATTAGTTATGACTCTTTTAAGAAGTATCAGTGTAAAAGTTTCTGAAGTCCTTTTTTCCTTCTCTATGCATACTTCATACAGATTATCTCTGCTGTCAGTGGTGGTATTACAGATCTCTCCTTTGATGCGGTTGGTTATGCCTGGCAGATTATCAATTGTATTCTTACTGCAAGCTATTCAGTATGTGTATTTAGCATTTGTTTTCTTTCTATATTCTGTATGAGACTTCTCAGTTTGATTGGGATTGATAATTTCGAGAAGGAAAATGCTAACAAGTGCCCTTAGGTAACTAGTTAAAGAATCAAAAGTGTAAAGATTTTATTGAAAAGTGTACCTGTACAATCGTTCATGTGACTTTATTGTAATTTTCAATGAAAGCTTTCTACATATTGATATCTTAACCAATACCCTAAAGGTCCTGGTTAGCTAGCAAGACTTTTGAGAATGCCAACCTTTTTGGGGATCAAATTCCAATTATGTCCAATCTAAGCTTTGGTTAAATGTTTTCCTTTTTGTGACAGCTTACCCTTAGATGGGTAATGGATGAAGCAAAAAAGTCAACAAAATCTGGATCTCTTAATGAAGTTTCAATGGTGCTGCTGAACAATTTATTGTCTTTACCTTTTGCCATCATCATGATTTTCCTTTTTGGCGAGTGGCATTATGTAATACATGCGTGAGTGAATATGTTTCTTTACTCTAGAATTCAATTAGCCCTTCTGCATGCTCACCATTATTTTGGTTTTGATTTCCAGCGACGTACTTAAACTGCCAATGTTTTGGGTGGTTGCTACAGCTAGTGGATTTCTTGGACTTTCCATCAGCTTTACCTCAATGTGGTTCTTACATCAAACTGGCCCTACAACATATAGGTAACTTTATGGAGTTGAAATTCAATACATAGATATCCTTGCTAAAGTCACAAGGACAGGAACATAAACTACCATATAAATATGTGGTGTCTTGTGGACAAAATTTGATGAGGACAGAAAAGGGTGTCAAAGATTTCAGTGGAACATACTAAATTGTGGTGCATTTAGAATTTGCTTAGGTAAACTTCTTTAAATACATTTCTAGGAGAGAAAAATAAGAAGGAATTTCTATAAGTTAAAATCAGCTTATGAATAAGTTAATTTGTAGAAGCTCTTTTCTATCAGCTTCTCTAAAATCTTACTTTTAACTTATACATAAGCTAATTTTAGCTTGTTGAAAAACTTATTTTGATTTACTTTCTTATTTTATCTCCTAAAATTGCTTTTAGAGAAGTTTATCCAAATAAATCTTTACTTAAATTTGATTGTTTTAGATATTTGTTATATTTTGAGTTCTTTTTCCATCCATTAATGTATCATAAGTTTGTCTGTTTTACAGTCTTGTAGGTTCCTTAAACAAGATTCCAATCTCTATTGCTGGCATTCTAGTGTTCAAAGTTCCTCTCAGTGTATCAAATTTATTCAGCATTTTATTTGGTAATTCATCAGAATCACTACTTCTGGAAATGGTTCTCTTCCTTTTTAATCTTATTAACATAGAAAGTGCACGCTTTTTTCAGGTCTTTTTGCTGGTGTACTCTTTGCAAGAGCCAAGATGTCGTGATGAAGTGTGAAAATTAATACATTTATGATAATTATATAGGTTTTTGATAAGACTTGCAAATTCAACATTTAATAAATATAGCCCTCAAACATGTAATAATTATCTGATACACCTACAAGGAAAGTATCAATTATCAAGTTTTCCTGGCATAGAAATCATGAGCAGGCAAGGCTGTTACAAGTTATGTTATTTATTTTTGTAGTTAAATTCGAATTATACACAGGAACTATAGCAGTTATATGTTATTTATTTTTGTAGTTATATTCGAATTAATCCCTGGAACTACAATACCGAATGAAAGACTTGAATTATTTTGGCACTTGTTTATTTCAGTAAATGAATTTGTAATTTTGTTCTTGATGTGGATGTTATTTTTTATTGTTTTTTTTTTCTTTTTTGGAAGTCATGATGTGACATTATTCTTTGACAAACACATGAAAAATAAATTGATTCTTTGATAAATAATGGAATGTCCAATTTAAGACAACATGAGATAACTTCGATTTTGTGCTATTTAACCAAATCATTTTCGTTGTTATCGAGCATTATGTTGTTTATAATGCCTATCTGTTAACAGGCCCGACTTTAAGGTGGGCTCTAAGAGGCCTATATTATATATATAAAATGTTGAATTTGCAAGTATTATATATATAAATGTTGATTAATCCTCATTTTTTATATGACCAAATATTATATAGGTTTTTTTTTATTAATCTTCATTTATATACTTTATTTGTGTCATATATTTAGTTAATGTAAAATCTTTAACACATGTCTCTTATATTGACTAATAGATATTTCGAACATAAGTTTATAAAATCAAATATCTGTAAGTCATTTTATAATTATTTGATAATGGGCGACATGATAGGTTTAATAATAATTATTAAGATAGACTTTTATATTATTTTAAAAATGTAAATTTGGAATTAACTTAAACTTATATAATTGACTTATAAGATGAATATTATTTTTAATTTATATATATTATTTTAATCTTAAATGCTCTTATTTTGATGAATAAAAGTGAAAGAGAAAATGAATGAATAAATTATATAAAAATATTAGTATAAATTAAAAATTAGTTTTTAAAACATGTATTATTATTATTATTAAAAATATACTATAAAAATTATTTAATTATTAAGTAATGGTGCATTTAGACTTTCCATCCCAAAGCATGCCTAAAGTTGAAGGAAATGTAATATATGGTGGATGATTTTTCAAATTCTCAATTTCACTCGAAACAAAGGAAATACTATATACCTCCCCTACATCTTTTTTTCCTAAATCGCCAATAACATACATAGTGTAGAGCATTCTTTTACAAACTATTTATCAAATTTGAAACTAATTTATCATATAGAATTGTTCTACTGACAATCATTTTCTAATATTCTACAAAAAGTGCCAGAAAATTATTAACATTTTGAAACGGTTAGAAAATGACTGGTCACAGACTCACAATACCTCTAGATTCTGTACGGTCAAACAAACTCTTCTTTATATATATATATATATATATGCTTCTTATTCGAATTCATGATCACTTATTAAGATAAAATTAAAACTTGATCGGTATCAGTTGATCTATGCCAGTAATGCTTCTATAATTATATAAATAAATAAATAAATTTGTTCATATTCCAATATTTAATAACTATTGGATGTTAATTTAAAGGCCATGATCATCGTTGGAGAGACATTATTATCACATTTTTTTTAACCATGGTACCAAATATCCATCATTGACTACTCTCTGCAGGTATCATAGTGTACATAAAATAAATATTTATCTCGTAACATAGTTTATTTCATATTCAATATCAAAATTTCAAATTCAAAACAATTTGGTTAAAGGACATAAGTTATTATCACTTGTGTCCCAATGTTGGTACCACATATCTTTTTATGAAGACTAAAAAATGATTACTAATAATTTAAAACAACACTATCCATTACTTTAAAAATATCACAATTTAGCTTCAAAGTGAAATATTGTTTATTTTGATATGTATTGGATTCTCTTGATTTTATCATTGAAAAGATGTTCTTAGAATATTAGAACAAACCCTTAGTCAAGGCTAAAAAAAAGTAACTGAGACTTTAAGACTATTAATATCATTTGGATCACTACATCTATATTGTATATTTACTTATGATGTAAGTTGTCTACATATACATGTAACAAATAATACAATTCTTTTACATGTGTTGTTGTAGTGGCACAATATATATATATATATATATATATATATATATATATGTATAAGT